CCGGTGATAAAAAATCACCGGGTAAAAATCACCACATCACGTGATTATAAAATACATATATGTGTACATATAAATAAATAAATAATAAAAAGTGGGCTGTAGTGTTTTGTGTCGTGCATTATAGTTAGTCCTTCACTTCACTATCCACCAGAAATGTCATCTTAGGGTAGTTTGTTTACAGTTTTCTTTTTGTACTACTTCTCGAATTACTTAATGCAACTTCCTGTAGTCGTTACTGATAATGAGAAATAAAAATAAAAGTAAAAATAAATATTAATAAAAATATTTAAAAAAGTTTATCTAAATAACTGATATATGCTAAAAATACGATCAATTACATAATTTAATTATGATTAATAATGAACAATATATTGTAAAGCCAAAATAAATGCAAATATATATATATATATATATATATAAAATAATTCGAAAATTAGTAGTGTTATAAAAGCATGAATATGTAAATTGATATAAAGTAGTTGAACAACTTTCAATTAATAAAGAGATTCGATTTGCTTTGACAAAAGTGCTCGAAATACGATCTGAAATTAACAAACAGTTAAAACAAATAGTAGTATTATGAAAAACGTGATTTTCTCTATGAATATCATCTCTATCTTATGAAGGTTGAGCTGTATAGATTTAATAATGCGTTCTGAGAAGAAGTTTCAATTTAAAAAATCTATTTATCATGTAAAAAAATTTTATTTGCATATATATGCACAAAATTGTAAAACGTAATACAAAATTAACATAAAATTAGAATTTCGCTAGAGGTGAATCCTTAAATTAAGGTAATTTACTTCTGGTAATTAATTTTATATTACCCTCCAGTAAATGTTAAATTAATTCATATTCAATATATGACCAAAATTAATAAACGCTGAAACAAAAAAATCTTCACCTTAGAATTCACATGAAAAGATTATAATCTAAAGAAAGTTATACTGTAAAAGATTTACTACAGTTAGTTTTGTAATAAACAATCTATTGTATGATTTTATTTTCGTGTGATAAACTGGTATGCATAATGGATATATTAATTTTGAAGGATTTTTTTGTCTAGTTGTACTAGTGTTGTACTTTCCTTAGTTATAATATCATTTTAATATACGAATTCTTCATGGACTAAACCTGAAAGGTGTATTATGTTTTTAATTTTAATTGTCATTAAAGGTTAAATTCATGAATTAGAACGTCCCAACGGGACTTACCTAACCTTAAACTTCGTTCGTCAATACAAGCGTATATATCAGGTTAACAATAATGAGTTAATTTTAGCTAAATAAGCGACAACTCCAATAGTGAATGTGCCTAACCTTATATAATAAAAGAATGTCAAACATACTCATGCGATAGGAAAAAAATTTCGGAAAATATATTGTGTGCAAGAGCGCATATCCTGATCGACATTCATTGACATAATTCAGCAAAAGACGTCATTTCGCATATTCTGACATTTACTTACAATTACAAAAAAGAATTCTAAGAACATTTCCATTTTTACCATTATCGTTATTAGGTATTCTGGTACATAGCCATTATTAAAGTTATGAAAAGGGAATTTCGGAAAATATTCCTGGAAACCCTTTTTGTACTAATGGAAATACGTTATTTCGCATATCCTGATCGACATTTTGTAATTCAGAGAATTCTAGAAAAAAACATTTTCCATTTTTTACCATCATTGAGTATTAGTGTTTCCGTATTTCCATAATCTAAGATAAATATTTATTTAAGTAGCCAACTTTACATAGAATTTTTTTTTAATTCACAAATCTCATTCAAATTTTAATAAATATTCTTTTTAATAGTAAACTTGTAAATACATACTCAAGTACATATATAAGCTAAGCCGTAATGTCTCAGTCATCGATTCCAGAATCACTTATTTTGTCAGCTACTAAATTTACCAAAAACATATTGGTTAACAAGATAACAATTAATATTAATAATACCCAATCAAGGAATACATTACATCATGGAAGATATGTTCTTGGAATTGGAAATAAATCAGTTACACCATTGCCTGTGACGATTAATCGCAAAGAAACGGGATCTACGTAAGTACCAAATTTGTTATTTTAATGTTAAATTATTTAAAAATTAACATGTCTCTGGCTCTTAATGTAGAAAGTTCAAGTCGACAATTAAAAAAGCTTATGGAATTGTTATTTATGAAATTGATGATATATATAATGGTAGCTTACCATTACTTCTTATTGTAGGTTGGAAGGTAAACCTTTAACTTACTTCGTACAAGCTTGTAAAAAAAAAAAAAAAAAATGAGGATCTTTACCAAATATATTCGATTGACAAAATTCCATTGAATATTAACTATGTTCATTTTTTTATTAGATATCCATCATAGGAAAAAACAAATGGTTTGTCTTCATTGGATGTGAAACAGATCCTGATTTTCCAGATGAAAGATCTATAAATGAATATTTGAAAGAAAATGGGAATACGGGAACAAATACTTTAGATTTTGAAGCACATTCGACGACCATCGACGGATCAATAAATGATGGGTAACTATTATTATTGTACATAACTAATTTCATTATGACACTATATGAATTTTTTCACTAAACAAAATACAATACATACTGTACATAAACATAAATAGGAATAACGCACAACTCAACATTTGTATCCGTTCTCGGGGGTTAATGGATAGATTTTTTCTTTTATAGACTTTTTTATTTTCAATATATATATATATATATATTATGTACATATACAGTATATTATAATAAATCATTTAAATTCCAAATTTTTAAAGATTAGAACATTAAGAATTTTTTTTTAAAAATAAAAAAGAAGGAACTTTCGGATTTTTTTAAAGAGTACTTTTATAGAACGTTTTTCAATTTATTACTTATATTAAACATTGAAAGAATTAAAAAACAAAATGAATTAATTTTACAGTTATATAGTGATCCTTAAAATTAATAGAAGTTTGTAGAAACTTCCGCAGTGTGACGGTGTGAGAGCTAAAAAATATATACTGTGTTATCATTTGCTGCGGATTGGAGAATAAAATAAAGTGTCTTTTGAATATATAAAAAAAATTGTATATACAGGACAAAAAAATTATAATAAAATATAACGTGTGACGGTACCACTCATATATAATCATATACAAATATCGTGTAATTTTTAATTTCATTATCCTTTTTAACTTCAACGTGAATCATTTACGTTGCAAATTATTAATCGTCATTGACTTTGTTTATAAAAGAATATTCTAAGTATAAAGTGGTTCAACCTCATCGATTGCCATAATTTATATGTATTTTCACCAAAACTTATCATTAAATTTAGCTGAAGAATTTTCATTAATACATATTTGAGGATTACTTACATTTTAATCCATTCTACATATTATTTAAGATTTAAACTGAAAGAAATACCGACAAGCGAAATGATTTTTCAAGCGATTTTCTTACGTGAATATTACGACCATAATCATTTGGGACTCGTATCATCCTCAATTTTACATATCAATGCTGAGAAAGATAAATCTTCCATTCATATCGAAAGAAATTCACTATTCGTAATTAGATTATAAAGCAAAAATAAAATAAAATAAATCCCTATTATACCATGTGTATAAATATTTCAATAAAATTTTCACCCTAAAACCAAAATTATTTCGTTTGTAAATGGACTGGAATATTTTCTACAGAAAAGAATTTAGAAAAAGCCTTTTATTGGCACATTACCTATTTCTTTAATTTCATTAAACTAATCATATGACATCCAATATTGAAAGTATTGAAAGTGCTAAGAGAAGTTGGTTTGAAGAGGTATATATTAGGCAACTCCGCCGGAATTAAGTTAAAAGTGAGTGCTTAATTTCGGAACTGTACGGTATTTTCTTTTTAAAAAAAGATAAATTCAAATTTAATTACATTAATAGGCAAAGTCGCACTTACTAACTATTAGTAATAAATGGTCTGGTATCATTCAATGTTATGGCTTCTTCGTCTAAACGGTACACCGTAACATTTACGAAGTTATAATTGTTGGTACCATTAGGAAGTATGGCAATCTTCCCTATATAGCAAGCTAAGCTGCGGCATATATTATACCAATTTTACGCCCCCCTTCTTTTACCTTTTTTAAACTTTTCTTTCTTTTCTTTTTTTAAAATATGATGAGTAAAAGAAAAGGTCATGATAAGATGGCTTCACTTTAAAAGTTTTAAGAGTTTTATTTGCATTTTATTTTCTTTACTGTTTCTTATATTTTGAGTCCTTTTCTTTTTAACATTTTCAAATAGTACAGTACTATAAATAATATTGTAAATTTTATCAATAGTATTTAAATAGTCACTACCTTATAATAAATGTTAATTATGTAATGTTTTTTTTTTGAAAAGCAAATAAAAACTACGCATTATTTGGATCTTTTGTATGTTAATGTTAATAATAACTGGTTCCTATAGTGGCACGACCTTTTAAATGTGGTATAGATCTTCTTGGCGTATAGGATGTCTCGCTAAAACTGCTCGTATATGATGTGTTTCAACCCAAGATTCATAACATTCCTAAGTGATAACTTCGAACTTCGATCTTGAAATTAACCAGTTCAAACTGTACTCAAATAACATTTTTTTTCATTGATTTCATTTTATATTTGTTTAATATTACGGCCCTACCACAAGGGACTTCCTAAGAAGCGTACTATGCTCCTCCCATAAAAATTACGCATAGCACCATGCCGTACCACAACCAACCAGCCCTACTGTGAGACTACAGCAAAAGCTGGTACTCACAGGCTTACAAAGTAAGCAAGCTATGCTCCCGCCCAACGCATAGCATCATGCTGCTCCCAATACCCAAAGCTAAAAATAATAATGAAGAAATAAAAAAAATCATAAAAAAAAAATAAAAAAAACTAAAAAAATAACAAAAAAGTATACTTACCTTCGGTCCTATCGCGGGACTGCAGCAGAAGCTGGTACCCACGAGCTCACCAAAAAGTAAGCAACTATGCTCCAACCCTCGCATAGTACTATACCGTTCCAAAAAACTCCCAACCAGCCCTACTGTGAGACTGCAGAAAATCTGGTACTCACAGGCTTACAAAGTAAGCACGCTAAGCTCCCACCCAACGCATAGCATCATGCTGCTCCAACAAAGGTACCCAAAAAATTACCTTAACATATCGTGTAAAGAGTTAAACGTAAAGAGAAAAAAGATTATAATAAGATATACGTGGAGAGAAGGGAGGAGGGAGGAGATGAGTGAAAAGAGACTTTTATTGAATTTATCAGTATTATTTTGGATGCTTTTTACTGACAAATGATGACTCATATTATAACCATGAGCCTATGTTACGTATTACGTTATTACGTGTACACAACATATTATTCCGATAATCGTTATCGGAGCTGCTTATAAATTATGATCGGTTTTTAGTACAAATTCCTAACTTATAAAAATTACAAAAATGGACGCGTATAGTTTGGTCACGTGTTGCATATTTCAATTATTCATATTTCATTGAAAATAAAATTCACACTTTGTGATACCTAAATTAGTATAATGTAAGTATATTGAAATTTTAGATTTTTAATTTTAAATATTTCAAAAAAATTAATTCAATGACAATCCGGTAATTATTGATCATATTAAAGTCTCATATCTGTATTAGGAAATTTTTTGTTCATTTATTTTTACTATTATATTCTTTGTCAGGTGAATTAATAATTCCGATAGAACATATAAAATCATCAGTAAAGTAAGAATTTTTAACAAATTTTTTTTATCAATTTTGTTGATACAGTAAATCAAATATATAATATATTATATAGAATGAATTGGATGAGTCAAAGCCAACTTCAATTGAATCTTCTAAATCCGAAGAAAAGTCCGAAGCTGATTCAAGATTACAAAGTATAGTATTTAAAATATTCTATGGATCTTCAATTTTTCTTTTTTTTTTTTTTTTAATTGATTTCTATTTACAAAGAAAAGTCCGAAGCTGATTCAAGATTACAAAGTATAGTATTTAAAATATTCTATGGATCTTCAATTTTTTTTTTTTTTTTTTTTTTAATTGATTTCTATTTACAGTATTTACAGTCGAGAACGAGGAAGAGAAAGCTCGTAAGTTTATTATCATTCAAATTAAATTTTCTAATTGCGTGAAATTAATCATACACGTATATTTTTTTATTCTTTTTCGAAATATTTTAGAAAAACAAGGAGAGTGATTGATTTCCGCAGGAATTTTCTTCTAATTAGTAAAGGACTATTTTATGATAAATTATTTTGTTATTTTGGATAAACGATTTTTTGAATAAACGAAGCCATTAAGATTAGTAATTATAAATACTAATAAAATCACATTTAATGACCTGGTGAAATAATCAGAATAATGTTAGTACCAACTAGATAAACTATTAAGCTGTGTACAGTATAGAATGTTTATATTTTATAAATCTATATAGTGTATATAATTAGGATAAAGAAATAGCGGTCTGAATCAGTTCTGAAAACTGTTTAACAATTTAAAATCAAACTGGATTTATTTCTAAACACTCCCTGAAAGAAACTATAAAAAAAAAAATTTAATATAAGCACAGCTCCGTTCAAAATAAGAATGATGGCAAATTAGTATGGTCATTGACAATTTTTTTAATTAATATATCTTCACATATTCTATTTTTATATATTTAATTTGACGCTCTTAATTTTAATTACCTTGGGAAAGAAGAAGAACCGAAAAGGAAGTGAAAGAGGTAAAATGCATTGTACTACCAAGTTTATCACGTGAATAAGCCTATGAAACCAACTAAAAAAAAAATCTTTTGTGAAATCATTCAGGCTGATTTACGGTTAATTTTGGCAATGATACTATATAGATCACATGATTTAAATTGTAAATTTGTCATTTTAATTTTAAGTGATCGACATACAAATATACTGTAGCATTATATCAAACTCGTGATTATTTCTATAAATTGAATTTTTGTAAAAAGAAAATTATTAACGCGTTGTTTAAATTTCTTTGTTTTTTTAAAAAAAAAAAAAAATCCGAAAGGAAAAAAATGACAACAACTTTTCATCATATTAAATCTTTCAAAGGATTTTTCCTTAATATTAAATGATGCAGATGATTACAATGTTATTTATTATTCAAGTTGGTGAAAACAATATAAAAGAATTTCGTGCACACTCAATTGTTTTACGTGCTCGTTCTCCTTATTTCAAAACATCACATTCCGTTAATTGGATAACAAGAGAAAATAATATGTTTATATTTAATAAACTAAATGTTACCCCAATCGTTTATGAAATGATTTTAAAGTAAGAAAGATTTATACATAAATTTATTTATTTATTTTATATAATTTTATTTTTAATTTATTAACTTAGTTATTTTAAAATATTAATTAGATATATTTATACTGGAGAACTTGATCCAATCAGGTGAAGACATTCTTGGTTTATTAGTTGCATCTGATGAATTACTTTTTGAAGAGTTATTTCGAATATGTTCAAGATTATTTGATCGAAAAACTAAATAGCTGGATTTATGAAAATGTTGATCTCATTCTTCATTCAGTATTTACTCTTGAAAATTGTAAGAAATTGCGAGATTATTGTCTTGAATTTATCTGTAAAGACCCACTACCATTTATGTTTTTCCTTTATAAAAAAGGACATTCTTTTTTGCTTGCTCCAAAGGGACGACTTATCAATTGAAGAAATTATCGTTTGGGATTATTTAATTAAATGGGGCATTGAACAAACTCCGGTCTTGAAAGTAATAAGGCAAAGTGGAATGAAGAGAATTATCAAGCATTGAAGAAAACTTTAAATCAATTTATTCTACTTATTCAATTTGTTAAAATTTCGCGAGCAGATTTTTTTGATAAAGTTCGTCCTTACAAAGTCATTATTCCTAATGATATTTATGATGAAATTGAAGAATTTTATTATAAAGATACTTTACCAAAGAATTCATCACCTAGAAAAGGTTTATTAACAAAAATTAAATCAAGCATTATCAGCAAATATTACATTCAATTGGATTGACAAAAAGGATATGTACTATAAATGATCCAGTTTATAAGTTCGACCTTATTTATCGTGGTAGTCGTGATGGAATTAATAATGAAACATTTAAAGATTATTGTAATGGACGAGTAGCAAGTTTAGTTTTAATTAAGGTTCAAAATTCAAACAAGATTTTTGGAGGGTATAGCTCTATCGGATTTAATTCAGTAGGAGATGGTTATTTGGATATCTATGGTATAGTTCATCAGATAACTTTATTTTCTCATTTGAACATGGAGAAGACACACAAAATATGAAAATAAGTCGGGTAATAGATTATTCGAAATCTATAATTATTAATCGCGCTGGATTTAATTTTGGATGGGTTCATTATGTATGACAAATCAAACTTTACATCTTAATAATAGCGACAATGCTTATGAAAATAATTTACACACTAATAGAACTTGAGATTGAAACGTTTACCATAAGTCAATAACTAGATAATTATCCAATTATGTCATTTATTAAGTTAAAATAAATAAAGAATATAGAAAATTATCTATGATGATGAAAACTTTAATGAAAAAACAAAGATATTAACAATTGTCATATAAAATTATAATAACATTATTTAGATACAGTATCTTGAAAGGATAGGCTTTCACTACTAATACCAATATAAAAATTACCATTATGAAATATGATTTACAAATATGCACACGAATTAAAAGATGTTTATTCAATAAATTCAATAATACAATGTGAAAATATAAAATTTAATTAAAATTAAAATTGCACGTATGACGATTGACGAACATTTTGCATATTATATTAATTGAATCACACAATAATTTTTTTAGTCGTTGTAAATTTTATTACGTGTATGATTATAGTGTTTGTAGTTAGAAACATTTACAATTATCAAGACTATAAAAAATTATGACGTAATATTTGTTTCTTGCGAAAGATTAATTTTGAAAAATAAATTATTCGGAATTTTATTCCGGTGGTTTATATTCGTTGCTAAAACTTTTTAAAATTTTTTTATAATTAAATATTTAATAAGGATATTTACTATAATAAACCAGTGATTAAAGACAAGATATTCTATCCTTAATATTTGAAGAATTAGTGCAAGATGATTCAATATCTCTCTTTTCATGTCTAATGGTCAATAGACTTTGGTGTGAAACTGTGATTCCAATTTTATGGAGGAATCCTTGGTGTTATGATATTAAGTATAGTAATAAAAATTATTTATTTACAATTATTACTTCCTATATATTTATCCGATTATATTAAAGAATTCCTAACAAGACAAGTAATTCAATTACCATTAGTTTCATGTCAATCACTTTTGTTTGATTATTTATCTTTCTGTAAAAGTATTAATGTAAATACTATAAGCATTATAACTTCTATTGGACCTTTTTTAAATTATGACCAATTTCTTTTGCAACAAGAATTTTACTATCTCTTTATGAAGAAATTTCCAGAGTTAAAGTATTTGGATATGAAATCTATTAAACATCAAATATTTTGTGAATTAAAATGTAACACATTAACAGATTCTTCATATTTTTATGGATTAGCGCAGCTATGTCAATATATACAGAGACTCATTATTGCTAATGTAAAAAAAAATTATCATGGGATTACTGAATTAATTAGAGTTCAGAAAAATTTAAAGTATTTTGAATGGAGAAATTATGATGCTTTATATATTACTGGACCAAATCAAGATTCTTACAATGAGATTCTCTTTGCGTTAGAAAGAAATGCAAATGTTATTAATCATTTAATATTACATTTTACGTATAGTGTTAATTATACATTGCCAAAGATACTGCCAAAGCTTCATAAACTAAAAACATTGGCAACTAGTTTTTATAGTTTCAGTGAAGAACAATTAAAAATGTGTGTATATTATGATCTTGAGGTCCTTAAAATATAACCATTTCAATTTAAAAGCAACTTCTATTATAATTGAAAATAGTAGAGGACATCTAAAGAAAATCTTATTAGAGCCTTTTGAATTTGTACGTAATGTAAATAACTTCATTGAAGATTCTCTTATTTTTATACGTAATATTCGTAAGAATTGTCCTTCAATTGAATATTTGTCTCTTACATTTTCACCATCGAAGGATCATTATACTGAAATTGAAGAATTACTAAAAATTATATAAACTTTCGAAAGCACTTCGTTCAGATTACTATCATTATCGTCAATAAGAAAATATGTTTATAATACATCAGAAAAATTTTTTATAAAAGGTTAACAATTAAAAAATTGAAGAATAAGAAATAATTGGCGTAAACTTTTGTTTATTTATTTTCGCTATCGGTTTCTATTCATGTACGATGCTGATCCTACTGTAAACTGATATAGACGCAAAAATTATCTTTTTGACCCTGTACGACACCCTTTTTTGACTATGCGGGTCACGAGTGCGATATAGACAATCAGGGGTGCATTGACTTGGAATGATCTTACCACACCATTACTTGTTTCATTTGATCAAATTAATGGTCACAGAATGTCATTGTCACAAAATAATCAATTTAGGAAGATTTCGTTTTTTTCTTTGTATTTAATACTTGTAAAAATCATTTTTGTAAATACTTTGTGAAGTTTCAATTATAAAAAAGATTTTTTTTAAGACTTTTTTTTTTTTTTAATAAATAATATGTCCAAACTCAATGAAGATATTCTTTTCTTAATATTTAAAGAATTTCAGGAAGATTCAATATCTCTTTTTTCATTTTTAATGGTCAATAGACTTTGGTGTGAAACTGTGATTCCAATTTTATGGAGAAATCCTTGGTGCTACAATGATATTAATTATAGTATTAAAAGTTCTTTATTCATCATTATTTCTCACTATATATTTAATGATATCAAGGAATTCATAACAAACCAAACAATCCAATTACCTTCAGGTTCAAATCAATCACTCTTGTTTGATTATTTTTCTTATTGTAAAAGTATCAATGTAAATATTATTAATAGTATAATTTCTATTGGATCACATTTGGATTATAATCAATTTTCTATGCAACAAAAATTTTACTCTCTCTTAATAAGAAAATGTCCGGAATTGAAATATTTAGATATAAGATCAATTAAACCTCAAACATTTTATTTTCCAGAAGCTAAGGATCGTCTTGAATCACTTTGTGAATTAAAATGTGATACGTCTATTGATTCTTCATATTTTTATGGATTATTACCATTCTGTCAATATATACAGAAACTTATCATTATTAATATAGACTCAAAACCCAATCACGGAATTGTTAAGTTAATTGAAGCTCAAAAGAATTTAAAGCATTTTGAATGGGAAGATGATATTCGTAATAGTCACCTTACAAAAGATCCTAGTGAAGAAGTTTTTCGTGCACTAACGAAAAAGGCAGATAGTCTCAATCATTTAATAATTTACTTTCGATGTATAGGTGGTTTTGAAAGCGCATTACCTCAAGAGATTCTTTCAAAATTCTATAAATTAAAAACATTAGTGTTCGATGATTTACGCCCATTTACTGAAGAACAATTAGAACAATTGAGAATACAGGTTTATCGTGATCTTGAAATCGTTAATTTAGAGTGGTGCGGGTTTGATGTAATTACTAAAATAATTGAAAATAGTGGAGGATGTATCAAGAAAATTTTATTTAGAGACAACAATAAATTTAGATGTTTAACCTTTTATGAGGATTCTCTCAATTTTATTCGTAAAGTTTATGAAAATTGTCCTTTAATTGAATATTTAACAATTACATTATCACTATCAAAAAAACATTTCGATGAATTTGAAAAATTACTAAAGATTTGTCAAAATTTAAAATCACTATTAATAACTATAGATAATCTGTATGCAATTGAAACTGATAAAGAAATTTTGGAATATGGGAAAATTTTTTTAGAAACATTAAATAGATCAGCACCGATTAATTTACAAGAAATTAGATTTTATGATGATTTTAAATTTTCTTTAGAAAACTTGGAGGAATTCTTGGAAAAATGGAGAGGTAGATCTGCAATTTCCATACTTACATCTGATTCTATTTATGAAGGGGAAAATTATAAAAAACTGATCAATAAATATCAAAGATATGGAGTAATCAAAGATTTTGAACATAATCTCAATGATTATGAAATTCACTATCCTTTTAAGTTTTAACGATTTACTGTATATATAAAAGAATAGAAATATTATTTCAAATGTTACTAAATTAAATATCATCTATTAGTACATTTGTTAATGAGTTCAAATTTTTGTATGCCGCTGCAATTTATACCAAACATATTAATCATATGAGGATTGTCCAGGAGTTCATTTTTTTTTTATTTCGAATTATAAACAATAAATAAATAACATTTTAAAACAATTTTTCTTAAATTTAATAGTTTTAAAATAATTTCAAAATGAAAAAAAAAATACTAATTTTATTCCATCAAGAAATAGTTATTTAGGATAAGATATTCGATAATAATTAACAAATATCTGTAATATTACAATACTTCATTTTTTTTGTTTTATTATGAGAACTTTCCACTTATTTTATAATTTGTATGAATACAAATATCATCTGTGTATTGAAACAAACTTTTCAGAGAGAAAAATACTTAACATACATAGTAATAGTAGCTACAACTATCGATTTGCCAGTGAATTATCATCAGACTTGAACCAAATAGAGAACAATTGGAAGCTATTAATATATCTACTTCGACATAATGAAAATTTGATGCAGTAATAGAAGCAAGTTAGATAAATTTATTAATGTATAAACTATGGCAAATACACATGACTTTGCTTCGCCTTCCAACACGGTTGTACAACGACATAACCCTCTCCTCTTTAAGAGCTGAAAGTGAATGTATAATTGGATTAACATTGTGTTCAACAAACTGGTAATAACATATTATTAAGTGAGCAACACAAATCACGCTCATATGTCAGACTGAAAATTATTGTTCAAGAAGGAGACACTTACCAATGTCGTAGATGGGATATTACTACTTGCTTTAGATTTAATTTCATCATCTAACTCCTTTTGAAAACATTCAATAAACATGATTCGAACTTCCATTTCTATTCCGCCAAGTTTATATATTTTTTTTATTAACTTATATGTATATTATCGCTATTATTTATTTCGTCTTTAGGCTTAGATCGGATCAATCAGGTTGATGATGTGGTCCTATGGTAAGCTTGATTTTTTCTTTTAATAATTTTTTTCTTATTATTTACTATTTTTTTTTTTTTCTATACAAAATTTTATTGTTATATTGATTAAACTCATTTAACCCTGTTGCAACGCAACAAACTACAGCTAGTTATAAAATAAATTTATTATTTATTCTATTTATTCTAATTTAATTATTTTAAATATTTTAATTTATAGAATTAATCATTTAACATTTTTAATTTTTATTTAATTATAATTATTCAAAATCAAGCTGTGGTAACAGAAAAAACATATACGGACAAACTTATCTCTAATTTTTATCATAGTATTTATATGAACAAAAAAAAAATCTCTATAATAATATATAAATCAATCAGCTGGTAATAATTTTACAAATATTATTTATGATTATTCATCTATATTTACTATAACTAATCAAATATTCTTTTAACTAATCAATATTCATTATACATTAAAGTCATCAAAGTCAATAACTAAAATCACTATGTCTTCGAACTATAATATTATGTAACTCGAGTTCCCTCACTTTATCTTTCAAATCAAACAATTATTATTTTTAATATTCTCAATGGCCAAATACTTGATTCATAATATATTCCTTTATGTAATGTAAAATATCATCACTACCTCTTTTTAGTTTATTAACAATTTATTAATAAAAATATGCTTCTTTAATGGTAAAATTCAAACTTATGTAACCTAATTTAGAAGGGAGAATTTGTCCTAGACTATTTTTTTTTCTTTTCTTTTTGCGCTAAGACTGTAAGTCAATTTATTAAGGTAAAAAGTAAACAGTATAAAAACCATTAATACAAATAATACAAACTAAAAAGAACTACAAATGACAGTTGAGGACACAAATTTGGGATTACTAAAAATAATTGGTATCATCATCTTGGAAAATATTTTATGGTCATACAATAATTATTTGAAAAATCATATATAGGTAAGTATGTTAGTGACATCAAGATTGTAATATAAAAAAATAAAAAATAATAATAATGAAAAAAAGAGCAACTATAATTGTACATATAACCAATTAAAAATGTAATATTATGTGACTAATAATGAATATAAAGCCAAAGCCATTTTTTTGAGATTCACACAAAAAATATTTTTTTTTTTTTTGTATTCCATTAAAATGCAATGGATTGAAAATTCTATTGAAGATAATTTGGTCAGAATTTGAGGAATTTAAAAATATAAATAAAATTTACGATGATCAGTTCGTAATGGTATATAGTGCGTTTTACAAAAACTTTTGTGTAGCGATAAAAATCTTACGTTATCATTATGATAATAATGAAGACGCTAATAATAAAATTGTCCATGAGGTTTGTAAATTTTAAATTTATGTTTAATTCAAATGCCAAGTGTAAATTTTTTTTTTTTTTTTGTATTGACTTAGATTCAACTTAATCAACAAATGAGTTTATATCATAACAATATCGCACGATTATATGGGATTACTAAAGAAGGTTCGTCAATGTTAAAATTAGTGTTTACTGTATTCTTATTAATAATTATTTTTACCTATTATAAAGGGGCAAGAAAAACGTTTTCTCTAGTAATGGAATATGCCAATGATGGGGGAAACGTTTGAATTTGTACAAAATAGTTGTCATGTCATTAATTTGCATGACTATTTAAATATAACTGTTCAAATTGCGAGGTTATTATCAGAATATTAAATTATCAAGTTTTGGACTTTCAAAAAGAATTATGAAAGGAGAACAAAGTATAAATAAAGACATTATTGATTTTGGATATGTTTTAAGCGAGATAAAGTCTAATCATTTACATGAAGAATATAACAATTTATTTAAAGGTAGCTGCATTATCTTTATTATTTTTTTTTGAGGTGTCTTTTTATTATCGTATTAATCATTAAAACATTTAACTAGATTGTGATACTGTAATGATAAATTGATCATCACCGTGATGAAAGGCTGTTCCGTGTTACAACTGTTACATACTAATATCCTGTATACTATTTGATGGACTTTTAAGCTTATCTTTTCAAATAAACATCATGAAATCATGGTCGACTATTAGGAAAAGTAAAAATTCAACAACAAGACCATAAGTAACGTTTTATATTTATAAGTTGATAAGACAAAAAAATTTGATGATAGGTATTATAATAACCAATTTTATATCTAAGGTATAAGAAATTACTCTAAGACTGTAATTATTGTATGTAATTGAGAGGAAGATTTATGGTAAATAAAAATTTCAAAACTTTTTAATTTATAATAAGAAAATAAGGAAAATATCAAATTTAAGAATCATCATCCTTAGTTTTCATTAATTTTGTGCAGTTTATAAAAATACTTAGGACTTTTATAAGAGATACTAAAGGAGTAAGAATGGATAAATAACTAAAATCAATCGCTTTACTTAAAAAGTAAACCTAATAATTTTTTTTAAAAAAAAATTAAATTAACTTGATTAATATTTGATTTTTTTTTTAAAAAAAAAGGTGATGCAAAAAAAATTACATACCCTAACAGCTAGTTCGGGCATATTTTTAATAATAATACCAATAATTACTCCAATAATAATCCTTCGTTCAAATTTTTTAGATAACTTAATGTCAAATTTATATCCACAAAATTGGAAATTAAATATATCTAGAACTCCAACATCAGTTCCTGCTAGTGATATCAACATTACGAGAACTATTTTATGATCTTTTGAATCTTCTAACCATTTCCTGATCGTAACTTTTTCTTGTTGTTGTTGACCTTGTGTACCATCTTGCTGACCTTGTGTATCATCTTGCTGACCTTGTGTACCATCTTGCTGACCTTGCGAACCATCTTGTTGACCTCCAAGAAGTTGATCTGAATCTTCTGAATTTTCTTCTCTTACAAGTTCGCTAAGGATAATATAAACTACATATCCTAACTTGATAACATATGGAACTGTCACAAAAAAAACACTTAAAGAAAATTTTATTATTTTAGTCTTTTTTTTAAAAAAATTTTTTAGTTCAAAAGTTGATATTTACCTCACAAAAAATATAATTTTGACGCTGCCTGCCTCTACCTTAGCAAAAAGAATGTCCAACACAAATGATAAAACATTAAATCCATATAAATAAATTTTAAAGTGGTTGCTCTAAATTAATAAACATTATGTTAGCATTTGATTTTCAATTAAAATATAGAATGTGTACTTTACCTTATCCTCACTTTCCTCATTAACCTCCCTCCCCTCATTACCCTCCTTCCCCTTACATAAATTTACAGATTGGATTAATTTAATTAATTTACATATATCCGATTTCATTATTTGAAAAAAAGCTTTCCTAACACTACCGTTACTATTTGCATCACTATTTACTTTTTTTGCATCATAATATATAGAAATGATGCAAAGTATGGTCAATATAAAAAAGAATATAACTGTTAAAATAAGTTCGAATATATTGACGGGATTCTCATACCACCTGGCTATTTTATTAAAAAAAAAAAGAAAGAAAAATTAATTAATTTGGTTAAATTTTCATCTGAAAAAATTAAAAAACGAATACTTACGGATAGTTACATATCCATAGAGTGGTTCCAAATATTTCGAAGAACTTCCAGATGCAAGAACAGTGATGTTCATATTCTGAATCATAGCTTTTAAATCTCCAATGATAAATGTAGTCTCCCTCTCTGATGCAGATTTTGGTTTATCAATCCTAATGGATAAAAGATATTGTTTTGAAGAACTTTCAATGTTAGAAGTATCGATTACAAATCTATAATTGGTGGTTATTCGTGTTGATGTGACTGCAGTGACTGCATCGGTCAATTCTTTTGTTAAATTATCAAAGAATTTAATTATTTGATCGGGATTGAGAGTGTCAAAGTAAGCAGTTCCGGTTTCGGTCAATTTAACTTTTCCATAAATGCCATCAAAAAACATTTTAATTTTACTTCCTCCTCCTTTTTCTTTTTCTTTTTCTTCTTCTGGTACTATTTGAAAAATAATTAATTGTATATATAATATAATTCAATTTTATGAGCATAATTATAAATCACTTACACGTTGTAAAAGACCAAATAATATTACTAGATAAGCCAGGGAGAGGTTCATTGTATAATAGACTCGAAACAAAATTATTCTCAATCATAACATAATACGTTGTGTCAGGTATATTAAATGTACTTTCAATTATATCAATACTAACGGTATTGTTATTAAACGTTACATATTTTTGATTTAAGCCGTTAATGGTTTGACGTACAATCCCAGGATTAGAACTGCCATTACTTTGAAAAATTGTAATTGTGCCGTTTGATAAAACAATAGGAATCGTGTATGTAATTTTAAGGGGATTAGTTTCACGTGCGGGAATAGAGTCATAAATGGCCGGAGTTGTATTACTGATGAATATATTACCATAGCCATAATCTAGAGTATTTGTAAGAGTTAAAAATAATAATAATAATAATAATAATTTCGCCATTACCTTACCTTCATGAATTTTATACAAATCAGTGGTGATTATACTCCAATTTTGTCCTACTATTGGTTTAAGCATTACAAGAGTGTTGTTTGTTAAAATTTGGCGGGAAGCATTAGAATCTGACAGTGTAGGATATGAAAGGTTCCATGGATTAAATTTGCCATTTTCATCCAAAACAAAGCCCCAAATATCACTACTTATATTGGTTGTTTGAACAACACTATAGAAATACCCTCCGAATGGTAATGGCGTAATCATAAATTGAGGATCGGTAAGTTGATTAATACCTATAATTGTGGGCAGTGTTGCATATACATGTTTGACATCAAATACAGATCCCAATGAAAGATATTTAACTTGAATATATACAGGGATTGGATTTGGATCAGTGGAATTAGGTTGTATGGTTATCAAACAAATTTGTCCAACCTCCGAGTAAGAGATAACACAATTAAGGTTAATAATATCTAATGTCATTATAGTTTCATAAAGAATAACTGGTTCTCGCGTAATATTACTTCCATATCCACAATACATTGCGTAAAGCCCTGACTGTGAAGAATAAGGATCCTGGGAGGTTGTTATATTAGGATAAATAAACATGTAACCTCCATCCACTGTTGAAACTACAGAAGGTTGTACTTGAAAAACTAAAACCATATCTGTAATCTTGCTAAAAATTCCGTCTTCATTTCTTCATAAAAAGAGGAAAGGAACATAAGTTAGACATACATAAAATTAAAATTTAAAATTTAAAATTTTTATTAATATGATAAATTACATTGTCCATTGCGTCACGCTATAATTACTATTGACATCATTAAGACCACTCGATAATGGTGCAAAGTAGAGAAATCCTTGCTCATTATTAACATTTGGATAGATAAAAGATTGTTGAGGCCTCCATGTATTATTATTACTTGAGTCAATAAGAGAAGGCCCCATTAAAGTTTTACTATAAAAGAAAAGTACATATATTACAAAAAAAAGTACATATATTCTCCAAAAAGATTTTAAAAAAAAGATCAATTCATTCTAACCTGTAAATCGTTCCATTTAAACCAATCAACATTAAATAATCATTATACGTGAAAGGATTATTTACGTCCGCAGCTACAGTATAAGTTACTACTATAAAATTGCCTTTTTTTGTTTCTATGGCTTTAAGAGAAATAGGGTTAAATCCATCAACGGTACAAAAATTGAAATATTGTATCCCCAATTCTTCCATTGGAAGATCGATTGGTATAATAGTACCATTGCGATAAATAACGCGAAATGATATTTTTGTTTCAGAACAATTTCCACCACTTAAATTGCGAACTATTTGCAAAACTATCGTATTATCTCCATATTTCAAAATGTCTGCCACTTGAAATTCTGTAGTTTCTTTTTCTGTGAATATAACATCTGATTTTATTGGTAACGTTATAAATATGATTATTGATAAAAAAATTAAGAGATGTTTTAATTTCATTTCGTAGAAATTATAATTTTTTTTTTTTTT